GTTTAGGCATTTTATATCTCGTTAGATCTTATCTTTTGTTGCGTTTCCTGCGGGGACTTAGCTTCTGATTATAACTGACGTTTTCGATGTTTTGTGCGTAAGCCTGTGTTCAATGTCGACGAATTTATTTTCTTCTTTTTCCTTTGCGCAGAAACTATATATTGCTAAATCAAGCACTGCTCGCACCCTGAAAGAGCCAGACTTAAATTGCAGTTTGTCTATTCTGTTTATGCTTTTCCCTTGGTTTATTGCATTTTCCCTTCCCACACCTGTTTTATCTCCGTCTCCCGCTCACGGCTGTTTTGTTTCACAGGTGGCATCCGAAGACCGCAAATTCCTATATTGCAACTCCATTTCTCTTTTTTGCCCAGCTTTTATTTGCTTCTCGTGTACACTGCACACACGCACAGGTCTAATGGGTGTTTTTATTTAGACTCGACCTTTGTTTAAGCGTTTTTTTTATAAGTGGATAGGAAAAATGTCCAAGCTTCATCGATTATCGTAAAATTTAATCGATATTCAAATTTAGCGGTGACTCACTTTTTTAAGCCTCGAATAACATTTAATTTCTGCAAGTTCATGTTCGCTTTTCCTCCGCATTAGATATCTTATAAACTTAATCATTTCCCCCCCCCCTGTACACCAAGTCTCTCGTATAGATTACTGACTTATTTTAAGTTTTAAAATTTAACTTTATGAAATCAACTGCTGATGTATTTTTATTCAATATTATCTAAGCAATCCCGTTTCCATCAATCAGCTTTCTCAATCATACTTTTACGTGCTAATAAGATGTAAATGGGTTTAGTTACTAATTCCTCTAGCTAATATATACTAATATAGCTACTAATAAAGGAAATGTGAGTGAGCGCCTGGGAGGATCCTTGGAATTGTTGAGCTTAAATTCGTATAGCACTATTTTGCTTCTTGCTCGTCTTCCGGCTCTATCTTTGAGTCGGTTTCCAAGCTGATGCTGATCAAATTGGATTTCAGTTTTACATTAAAAGCGGCACGTTTTCTTGGTATTCGATTAGATTTGTCAATATTTATTATCGTTATTCATTATTATATAGTATTCAATATTATTTGCTCTTCTCTTCTTCTTCTTTTCATTTTATTATATTATTTATCATTATCATTATTATTATTATTATATTATTATTATTATATTATTATTATTATATTTATATATATATTATCATTTATTTATTATCATTATCATTATTATTATCATCATTATTGTTAGTATTATTGTCATTCTTCTTCTTCTTCTTCTTCTTCTTTCTTATTATTATATTATATATTATTATTGATTATTATTATTATTATTATTATATTATTATTATTATATTATTATTATTATTATTATTATTATTATTAATTATATATCATCATCATCATTATTATCATCATTATTGTTTAGTATTATTGTCATTCTTCTTCTCTTCTTCTTCTTCTTCTTCTTCTTCTTTCTATTATTATTTATTAATATTATTATTATTTTGTATCACTGCCAGCCCTGTTCATGATATATTTCAGTAACCGGTCATTATCTCATTGCTGTCAAAAAGAGGTCTTACTCGAAACGTCGTTGGTTGACAATAGTGCTATCCTTACTGTTATGAATGTGTTATATTTGCCGATTGCATTAGATTATTGTAATAATTGTCAGCTTTTGTCACTGGAGCTTGTGGTGAACTATTTTTGTGTCTTTACTGTTTTTAGCGGTCTCGTAGCATCCCGTAAAAAAAACAAAGGGATTCTACAATCGTCTCCCACCTGTTGAAGTCTAATATTACCCCGACTGTTCATTCAACTTTTGTCCACATATTCACCACTCTTGGCTACCGTGTAGAGACACTGTGGTATTTATAGTCAGCCCCAAAACATGCACCAGTGTTGGAGTCGGCAGATTCGCTGTAAAGTTTTGGCATTTGATACCAGGATGCTAGGGGAGGGAAGCAATTGCCCCCCAAGACTGATTGACCCCCTCAAGGTCTGGCTTAACCCCCCCCCCCCCGAAGAGTCACACCTCCCATTTTTCCCCTAAATTACACCTTTATAGCTCTAGTCCTAGCTTATACGTGCTCGTAGAACAAGATTTAAAAAAATCTTGGGGAGGCTCGCAGCAACCCAGAAAACCGATTTGCGCCGCCCTTCGCTCGCCAACCATTACCCCCCAAGAAATCGCTGAAATGACCCCCTGTTCAATACTCTTCTGACACGTCACTTCTATAGCAAACACTGACACGCTTCTTCTTTTTATTTATTTATATACGTACTTGTCATTCTTGACTTTAGTGTTTTTCATTGCCGCGATGTAGAATGGTGGTAGTTTAAAGAAACTGTTTAGTTTTGCACACTTAATTATATGTCAGTTATTATTAACATAAGCTGCCTTTTGATTTTTCGTTGTTTTCTTTTCAGTTCTTAGCAAAAAAAGCATTGAGAAACTTACTTACTTTTGAAAGAGTCCTAAAGTATTTCTCTCTGCTTCAGGGGTGGCAACATCGAGGTTCACAGTGTACCCGCACTTGTGTACGCTATGGAAAAGTTAGAAGTGGCTGGGCGTGTAATGCATAAGACGTGCTTCCGGTGCTGCAAATGTAACTCGCAACTAAGGTGAGATATAAAAACACTTTTTTTTTTAAAACTGTAGTTGCGAAGAAAAATCTGTTCTTCATTCTCATATGGTTCCATATCCAGTATTATGAACAACATGCTAAATATATCTTTGGTATTCAATTAATTAGAACCAAAATATTTAGTGAGAAACAGGTTGATGTTTTAAATATATATATTTTTTTTCCAGTGTTGGCAGATTCTCCATCGGCGGCGACGATCTGTATTGCATGACCCACTACAAGCAGGCCTTCAGGGAGAAGGGGACCTACGATGTGTTCACTCCTAACAATCCCTGCAAAGGGAAATGGGAGGCAAAAGCCCAGCAATGACGTGGAAGTGTTAATGTATAGTTGGGGACCACATTCACAGCATCCACAGGTTGAGCAATGTAATTCTTCAGACTCTGAGTGTTTATGGCGACTAAGAACATCAAATGGTGCGAGTTTTCCAGCATATCTGAAGGCAGTATTTTAGAGAAAATGAGAGCAGAAATCGGAACTACTTTTACTTTATTTTTGTAAATGATAATGTAATATAGAAATATCTGCATCTGTAATTTCCTGAAACACAACAATCCTGTGAAAGCCTCCATTTCTGTGCCTTAGCACTTCACATGCTCCATTTTTTGTATATTTTTTCGAGAGTAATTTTTTTAATGACCTGGAAAATAGATGTTTACTGCTTTGCATGACTGACATGCAAAAGTTAGACCCCTTCTACTACATGATTATGTCCTAATCCTAATGTAATAAATTTTGTGCTTTTGTAGTTTTAAATTTTTGCCATGACATACAGGAAATATGATTCTTGAATTTGTACAATATATTATGTTTATGTTGAACATCACTTAGAAATATTACATTAGGACAATGACAATGATGATAAAATGATTGTCAGTTTAATGTTATGCTATGGATATCCTTTAAACTATACAATTAGACATAGTCATATTTATTTGCTTCGATTTTAATTTTAACTGATTTGTTGTAATATTTTTTTTTGTAAAAATACAATTTCTCCTAAGAGGAAAAGTATATAAAGTGTCTTTATGTCAAGAACACTTCATTTCATTGTCTTTAATTGAAAGAATTGTCTCATTTTGAAAAGACTGATTTTATTTTTTACCTTTTGATAATAATGTGGTCAGTTTGATATTCACATTCTTTGATTAATCTGGCTCTAGAAGTAACTTGGCCCAACAGTGTATGCTTTGGCCATGATCTCCATTTTCAAGATGTGTGTATAGAATATGTCATGTACACATTACAATATTCTGTCCAAAGATAGATTATGGAGCATCTCAGACCTTTGATATGGCCTTGGAATATTTTTTTTTTCTCAGAAAAAGAGTGAGTTGTTTTCTGTGTGATAATAAGCTTTTTTGTGATAACCAAGATTTAATACCAATTTTGAATTCTTAACCCCATTTTGGTTTTCAAAATATTTAGTCTACTTCAATGGAATGAGTCAACAATATATGCCATATTGTTTTGTGATCAGCTTTAAGAGTGTTCTTGTAATTCTAATCTCCAATTTACCTACTAAGTAATACTTTTTGATGTTTTTGAAATAAGAATACTACTTGATATATATACACTGAATGGCCTTTTTAGGTTTCATGTATTTATAAAACTTGAATTGTAAGTACATATGTATATATTTTTTCATCAAAATTAAATGTACTTGTTCATAACACTTTCATATCACAGTACTTATTGTATGTACATGTACGTACTTCTTACTGTATAAAGAACAGGTATAGACTTTCATGATCAAAGAATATCCAATAATTTGGATATCAATTTTATAATTATATTTAAGATACAATTACATTAAAGGTATCCAAATATATATTCGTAAACCAAAGAGAGGATAATGAAAATGTTGGTATTACTGTAGATCTTTTTACTTGTAGATAAAGGTGAGCCACAACTACATTTAGCCACAATTATTTATGATTATATGTATGAAAGCTATAAAATAAATACAAAAAATTATTGCATTATCTTTATTATGTATGATTTTAGATTTTTGAGATGTTCATGTGTAGCTACACTTGAAAAAAGTAATAATGAGGCAGATTATCTGCAAAGAGAGGATATAAGTGAATGGAGACAGATTCAGAATCATTACTACAGCAAAATCAGACGGTGTACCACAAGGCAATACTTTGCACCTTCTTTTTTGCCCTGATGGTGGTATAAGTACATGAAAATGAGAATATCAGCTTTCCTGATAAGGGAAATATGGCTCAGGTCTAACTTTACCAGGAGCTACTGAAGTCAAAAAAATACTTAAGTGCATTTAATACAAGGCTCACACTCCTATATTTCAACCACTCAGCAGTGAACAAGCTGCAAAGCACTACAATTACTAGTTCTCCAGTTACATGTCTTGTGCATTAAAATGGTATTCTGGCTGTGATCTAATATTGACTGTTTAATATACAGAACAGAAAGATCAAGAAAGTAAGAGTTCCAGTGTTTTCGATAACTACTTACTGGTACAGAGTTTAGCCTAAATACCTTTGTGAGCCTTTGCATACACCAAATATTGAATTGTAACGCGTTTAGGGGAGAAAAATCCAAATTTAATTATTTACTGATTTCTATTATAGATATGTGATGGTTCTTAGGTTACCAGTCCTCAAACACTCCGCTTCATGGGGAAAGAGATTTAAAAAAGCAAATGAACCATAATAGAATATCCTCAATTGAAAGATATTAATTGGATCTTAACAAACACATATATAACATTATACATCATACCTATTTGTGTCAGCACAGTCATCTATGACATCATATGCATGGAATCAGGGTTATGGCAGTAATTAATACTATGCAAATTTGATTTTAGAATAAAGACAAATGTAATAGGTGCAATCATTTAATATATATATTTTTTATAATTCAATCTTTCATCATTTTTTTTGGGGAAGGGTTTCATTCTTGTTTATCACAGCCATGTGCCATGTATACTAGCTATTATTATTATTATCATCATTATCATTATTTAATTATTTCATAACTTTACATTATGTATATATTAAAACAATATAATAATAATATAATAATAAATAATAATAATAATAATATATAATAATATTCAATATTATTGCTGTGTGTGGTAAATATTTTAAATACTATAAATGAGATATGTATAAACTAGTATTATACACTACACTGATACACAGGTAAGGCTGGCAGGATTCATAGTTTTTATCAAACTGACAACAAATTTCGTTTGTCTTGCGTAGTCTTCACGTACTGGAATAGATTCCTAAGCTTCAATTTATGCTCTTATAATACAAGATAATAATAATTGACTAACACCTAGGTATATACAATATACATAATTACAAACAATGATAATAAGTACTACAAATTTTATATTGTTTAACTAATAAGTGATACTCCTATGTCAGAACTCACGCAACTCAAAACAAAAGCTAGCTATATCCCTTTCTTCCCTACTGTGCATCTATTGGAGTGAGCAACCAATGTATACTGAAAACTACGTTACCCACATACAGAGTGAGAAATGATATTGGTTGCCTAAAAATCTATTTGTTCCTCATTTATCTTCTGAAACCACTCTTATTTGCTATCATATATAACCACTTCCACGATCTTTCAGCTATGTCATAAAAAAAGATCCTCTAACAAATTGTAAAGTGGATTATATCCAAAATGTCTGAAAACTATTGGCAATCACAGGTGTGCATCAGCCTTTTCATTGATTGGGGATTGAGCTGTAAGTCGAGGAGTGCAATAAGTCAATGATATGCACCTATCTTATAAATAGCATTCAAAACTTCAATATAGATATATGTAGTATCTATATATATAAAAGATTGTCAAATCCTCTATACTTTTCAAACCACCTAAGTACCTTTTTCAATATTATTAAAAATCATTAAAAATATAATAAAGCTAATATGTACTGAAGAAGTATCGAGAATATGTTATTTAGCATATCACAGAAGAATCAAGTTAACCATTAAGTAAAGTGTATTTTAATGAGGTAATGCATTAACAACATTCAAATAAATTAATGTTGAGTCAATTTAGAAATTATCAAGGATAATAATAATTGACTAGGATTTATTATAATATAATTTCTGAGGAGCTAAATCAATTCCTATGGAGAGTGACAAGGAAAAAGTCTGTTTACTTCTTAAAAAGAGGAATATATTGATAGTAAAAAAACATCACCATGCAAATCTTAGAGCAACTTACGTTCGACACATGAGAGTAGTCTAAATACAACTACACAAGATAGCTTCACCTTATTTTATTGGTCCACAACAAAATAATACTAACAGAAGTTTTATATCCACTGTGTGCTAGTTTAAATATCCCATGTATGCTATTTACACACTAAGAGAACTCACACACACCACCAATCATTCAAACTTAATTGAAAATTTCCATCAGAGCGCTTACAAAACAAGACAACCAACAAATTAATCTTCATGTAAAAAGGAACAAGAAATAGATTCCTACAGATCAAGTTATAATATATTTCTAGGAGATTAACTTGAAATATCATTTTTACCAAAATTCCACCAAATGTAAATAATTTAATATTCACCACCAATAAAGGGGGAAAAAATTGAAAGAGTAGTAAATAACACACTGGCATCAACAAATGCTACACATGCATATGAAGAGGGAGTACATGTTGTTTTCTAGCTTTCCTTTAGAATATCTTTTGAAGCTCTCCCTTTCACAGTGAGAATTGGGACATTCACATGAAAATGGTATGCAGCATATATGTCACCCTAAAGTCCCCAGAAAGATTTTTACTCATTATCTTTACCACCTAAATCTACAAATACTATAATATAACCCATAAAAATTGATATATAAATAATGGAATAATATTTTCAAAAACCATCATATTTGTGCTATGAGAAATGTTTATAACAGTTAAACATGTAAAATGATACTTTATTACATTATATTCAATTAATAGAATCTCTTATAACAAAACAGAATGGTGTCTGCGACCGGTCAATTAACTGTTATACGTGTGAAATATAATAATTTCACTGAGCATGAAAGAGGAGGGTAAAATGGTAACACAAACATTGCCAAAATATTTATCGGGAACTGTACTATGACTTATAACTAATGGCGTACGATTACTATTCAAAATATTGAATGATAACAATATTGAAAACATGAAAAAAACTTGTGCAGTACACATTCCTTATACTATTGTAAAAAAAATAAATTCACTGTCTTTTATAACTTGAAATACGTCTGAATTTAGTGTTTTAAAATAGATAAGTATAGTCTATTATTTTGATAGTAATAGATCCACAGTAGTGGGTGAAGTTTACAGTAGTGATATAGGAGTGTTACACTGACTTACATGGGAACCATAATATATGGTTATAATACACGTGTTCACCTATTTCAAGGTGATGAAGGGAATAAACCACCTATACTACATCTGTAACTCTTCACACACTATGACCTATATATCCAAATAAAGAACCAGAATAAGGTATATATCACAATTGCTTACCACATTTATATACTCTATATATAAGAGGTGACTTAACTAATACAGAGATAAAATCTTATATAACATTATTAGAAAACCTAAGATAATTATATACTTAGATATTCATTTTCCTCGATGAGTCATGCTTAGGAGTTAAATGACCTGTGTTATCTTATCACTCGAAAAAGTTAATTTATAGCTAATAACATCAATAAACAACAGATTGAATAGGAGTGACATCTTACAAGACCCAATTAAAAAAAAATATCACTGAAGTTGTGATATTTGCTTTACTAAAAACATGAAGCTAATTAAACCAAAAAAAGGACTCTAAAATCATAAACACAGGAGGGGGCTTTACAAAACAAAAAAAATCACTGAAGTTTGATTTCTTTACTAAAAACAGAACTGGTGAGGTCACAGAGCCCACTTGCAATACAAATAAATACCTTCAGTTTGGTTTTTGGTTTGAATAAGTGGACAGTCAAAAATCCCTCATTAAAACAAAAATACTAAACCGAATTCAATGGTCCTCAATATTTGAATCACAAGGTAAAATAAACAAAACAATAAAATCTGCAGTAATGAAAATATCATTGATAAATCAAGCTTTCATAAAATCACAGAAATAAGAATAATTTGTGCCATCTGAGAGGAACCAAGTGCCACTGAAACTATTATTGGTAGGTCTCAGTTGGCAGAAAAGCTTACAACATTCACTGTGCTAAACCAGGGAGTCCCAAAAAATTAGAAGGCTATAAAAGAGAAGTAAAACTCCCATGAGCCTGTTGAGACACAATTCTTTGGGTCTTATAACTCTTATAAAGTGTTTTGTTGAATTTACACTATAACCTATATTTTACTGTGATAAAGTGCTATGACTAGTCTAATTCTTATGTGGCATCGAACCATGAAGTGACCATAATGAATATAATACTTTTATCGGATATGATATGGCTACACACAAAGTGCTGAATAATCAATATTTTTACAGAAAATATTGGTCAGGCTTTCTTGTTGCTGAGTGAAGGCTTTCTCCGGAAAACTTGCTGAACAAGTGCCGAGACACAACTTCAACTCAGCCCTGACACCCACAATGGTCATCGCCAGATCTACTGGTGGCACAATAGGGGAGAATGTACTTCGCAGAGTACCTTGGGACTTGTGGTATGAGATTTGTTGATGGCATGCTGTTAGCTGTACCAAAATATCTTTTAGTTTAAATCCTCCCAATCAGTGAATGGATGACAAATACTGGATCTGAGAAATGTGGTTAGGAAGAACAATATATATATATATATTTCTAAAACAAAACAGAACAGAAATTTCACAGTTCAGGTCATGTAGTCTTACATATACAAGATTTATAAAATGACTATCATTCAAGATCTTTGTCATTATCCACCAATGATAAGAACTCAAGATATTAATGATCTCAGTCTGCCATCTTTTCACTGATGAGGTGTGAAGTCATATGGCACTTTGCCATTTGTTGATTTACAGAATATTGTATCTACAATAGTCTAAAAACGTTTTTTCCTATTCTTGACTCTTTGCCAATTCTGAACTTGTTGCTTCAATTTTTCTTGTCCACTTCCCTTTGTTAGGTGTAAATACATCATATGTTCCTTTTTCTGTGAAAGCCTGTTTATAGTGTGTCATGCAGTATATGTCCTCACCGCCTATGGAGAATGAATTCATGCTGGAAGAAACAAAAAACATATGGTAAAATATAAGAACTGATACAAACAGGTTTACAGCACATAAAACATAGTTCTTAATACAAATCTCATTTTGTGAATGAAAGAAATTTACTTCTGCAGTATAGGCAAATGTTGCAAATACTTCATGGCATCAAGAAAATAGACATTACCTGAGTTTTGTACTACATTTGCAGCATTTGAAGCAATTCTTATGTAGTACACGACCAGCAACTTCCAGTCTCTCCATTGCATACACAGTGCGGTCACATGACAGACACTTGTCTCCCCCACCACCCTGAAAATAATTATTAATTTGAATAACCTGGTAGAAAGCTTAGTAATATACTTTCTTTACTTCTCATTATGTGTCATCTCTAAATGATAAAATTAAGAGAATGCACAATTCAATCCAAAATTATTAAAATGTATACCATTGCTTAAAGTCAAATGTCTTCAGTTGGGATATAATACCTACACACAAAATCCATGTCAAACTAAAGCATGCAGTACCACCAATTCTTTTCACTACGGATATGATTAGTGACTAAAGTGTCTCTAACATTACGTATTTGGCAAGTATTCCTATACAGAGGTCAATTATGAATTACAGTTGGTGGAAGATATTCTCTACAAATACCTGTTTTCCCTTGTAACACACCAAATAAGCACAAAAAATCAGTATATAAAAAAAAATCAACAGTTGGTTAGTTTCAACAGTACAACATTTTGAAACTCATAAGCTTTACCAAAGTAATAATAAAAAATGGACATTTCGTTAGTTCACAAACAAATACCACATTAAATATAGGCATCAGACAATGAGTAAATGACTGTACACTATATTAGTATAAATATAAATGCATTACATCACACTGAAACATTTGCACTTTATGACTTACCTATCAATATAATTGCTTGGAAATATGTTGACTCATAATTACAAGGAGGTACATACAGATTCATTTAATATATCAATTTATTAATCAATTTTGATACAAAGTTAAAAACTACATAAAATAATAATAATAACATAAAGTACCTCAATTGTGCGCTGTTTTAAATGACACAATTCTTTATACAATTGTGAGTTCTGACAGCATTATCATTTTAGTTTACAGTGCTGAAACTGCATCTTACAAAAAAAAAAGAAAAAAAAAATCTATCAGTGAAATCTAAAAAATATGATACAAATCATCTAAATATTATACTCCAAAAAGCTTCAAGCATTCTGAGGACATGTAGAGTGAGTGAAGATGCCATACATAAGGAAGGTAAAACTTCATATACAGTAAATTTGACAGTCACTCGCCTTACTTGTATGAGTGATTAATATTTATGGGAATACAAGGGCATTGCTAATTATATCTATAAGCAGCAGATTCATTTATGTATGCTGATTGGTTACTTGCTGCATTACCTATACAGAAAAGGAGGGAATTACTTATATACTGTATACCAGAAAAAAACTTCCTGTACAAGCTGTAGTCCACACACAATAGTAATACGTTTTCCTGGTAACATTCATTGCATAAAAAGATGCTGAGAACTAAAAAATATATTAACTGCATATACTATTCAGGCTGCACTTATTTCATCAAGTAAAACAAAGCATCATCTGTTCTTTATGTTTTTAGCACCTACAATTTTTTAGAAGATTATACGCATACCCTCTTTAAGCACCAAATTAGAAAAAATGCCTATGTAAACCATTTTACTCTAAGAATAAGGATTACTCTACTCTTTACCTTTGATTCTCTTAGAGTATGAGAGCACAGTCATAATCCTAAAATTTGCAAGCTGTGGTTGAATAAAGAAAGCTCACACTTCTGATATATATCTTCGGGAAACAAGCATCTACAAGGTAATACCAAACATCTTTCATGACAAATGAAGGTAAAGGAAATAACTGATGTTATTTTCATAATAAGCAGTAACATGGGATTTACTGACTTAGAAGAAAAAACATCTTCCATGGAAGTATAATACATAATAAAACATTTAAATACAACACAAGAAAGACATACTGTATTTGGAAAAAAATGTCATATAAAAGGCAATCACTCTATCCCCAGTCATTTATGAAACATTCTTGGTTTCCTGATTTCAAACGTGTTAACTTGAAGGGCCACATGATTAACAATGAGAGACAACAGAACGATATCTGCTGTTTTTATGGAGTTACTAATGAGGTGTAAACCTTGCATATTGGAATCAAGCTGGAGCAGAGTTTCTGAACGTGGCAGTCCATGTGGTTTGAAGAAAGGAAGTGATGTGCACAACTGCTGAATGAACGATGACGGATGACTGGGGTTGCAGGCGTCGTGGCAAGTCTCACTGGTGGAGGGAAGTGGACAGTCAGCCACAATGCCATAACTCAAGTCTGTGGTTAGTTGTGTCCATCCATAAGCTGTTCTGTTATCATTTCTCCTGTTGCAGGGTGAACATTGCCACAAAGAGGGAAAAAACAAAAAAATGATGTAGTGCACACTTCAATTCAAACTTAAAGTAGGAGTTAGTCCATACTGATATGAAATGATGCTACAAGCATGCACCATTCAAAACACTGCTGCTACATCACGTCATTCAATTGATGCTGTTAATCCATTTGAAATGTCTTTTGTGTGGTGAATTTTTTGTTATGTTCCTCCTCTTGACTTCTTGAAGAAGACTGTAGTTTGTCTGAATACAAAGCCAAGTCATGAAGCTCTTCTCTTTCTCCCTTATTTCATAAGAGAGCTTTAGCAGCTACATGCACTATTGTTAGAGATGCTGTCAAGGAAATGCAATTGATTCCACAGTCTGCAAAGCTCACATTGTGTAGATGAGACATTCATCCTTACATCTGGCTATCATCACCATGTCATTCTTGGGTGTAGCCTTTATGTCTTCTGAAGGTTTACAGACACTGTTAATGATTACTGCCATTTAGTAGTCCTCCTGACGTCTTTATATGATACAAATATGTTCTGGATTTTGGTATCTAGAAATATGTATATGGCTGATCCTTAAATATCATCATACATAAGCACATTTCTTTTCAACTGTATATTGTACAAATTATCTATAATTTGGGAAGTTACCAATCACTTGTGTATTTTTGTTCAGATTATGTTTCTGTAGTGTCATGCTCTTTTTCAGTTTCATGCTGAGTGCAATCCAATAATTCCCTTTAAGGAAGAGAATGTCCAGATCTCAATGCGATTTCCAGATGTACAGGTAAAATTTTCTCTGTTTATACTTCAAAAGTTTCCTTGTATGCTTTTGCAAGGGGAGAACTCCTGGGCATTGTTCTTGTTAATATCCAAAGGATATGGGATGGTACACAAAACATGCAATGATACTGCTTTAAGGTTACACTAATCAATACAAATGTATAATGAATGCTACAATACTACCTTCACCTGGTCTATATGATACTACTATTTTTTTAAATATTTGATACTAGTTACCATGTTAAACTTCAAAGTCTTTTCCTCTATCAACCTTTTGCCTTTTTTACATATAACATGTTATATCTATACATCACAATCTTACACACAATTTCCTAATATACAATCAATCTAACCTACTGAGAAGGCACAAAAGATATATATCTAAAGAAATACAGAGAAATTTGTCATTCAATGTAGACTAATACCAATAAAGAAGTTTGTTTTTACTACTAGTTTCTGTATTCCAACATAAGTGAAACTAGTACATTATTGCAACATATGCTCTTACATGATATGTTCATAGAAAGATACATCACCAGTATGAAAGCATCAGTAATAGAAACTAGTTTGTGTTTCTTTCTTTGAGTCCTTAAAGAACATGAAATAAAATCAGATATTTGCACTTACCACAAATCTGTTGACCTTCAACTTGGGTTGACTGCTTACGACCGGCCGGCTTGCCTCCTGGGCCTTGTTCTCAAACATGGCACGGAGGTTGCGGGCGGTGTCAATGGACGGCATACACTCTTCGTCATCTTCGTTCCTTTCATTGCGGTTGTACTCGTTGTTGTGCTCAACCTCTGACTCCCACCGCTCGAATTTGGCTCGCAGCGAAGCTGCTTTTCTGGCACTCTGTGAGGATTTAGCCTGTATAGCAGCAAAGAAGCAGCAGCAGCAGCAGCAGCGGCCACCACGTGTGCATGCACAAATATATGCGTGAAGCAGCAAGTGCATTACCAAAGATATTAAGGGATTTTTAACCAGATTTAATAAACCAGTTTACCCAGTGACAATATTGAAGCAACAAAATGTAATGTTTGTGGAAAGTGAAAGTTGTTAGTAGAGGAAAATACCATGTGTATAAAAAAGATTAAAGAATTTTACATTAGAAAAATAGAAAATGTTAACAAAAGTACCATGCATGACATGAACACAAAAAATATCAGAAAAATAATAGAGAAAAAAATGATCCAGAGAAAATAGACAATGAACAGAAGAAACACATAATGGTAAGTAAGCAATGATTCATTGTAAAATTTACAATAAATTTAGCAGCAACATATTGGTATTCAGGTTGGCACCAGTGCATGACAAGATCACAGAACACAGATGCATTTGGAGACATTCACAGTAGACAACATGCAGACAGGTAGGTATGATTAGATGTTGCAGCAGATCAGCAAATAAGCAAGTGATAAGGAGGAAGACCAGGAAAGGGGAGGATGATAGGGGAGGACGGGGGAGGGAGGAGGAGGGAGGAAGGACGTAATCATTAGTAGTTTCTTAAATAAAGATATAAACAATTCAGCTTAAAAATAAAATGAATTTTGAGAGATTCTTGAAGTATTTCATGAGTTCACAGAAAATCTGAGTGTGCATATTCCTGTTACTGACACCAGCTATCATCATACAATGATACTTGTCATTATGAGAGTATTTGCATGAATTATTTCTTGCCTATAAAAAGATAAAGAAAAAATTCTGACAATTGTAAAAGATATTTTTTACAAAATCTATTAGTCCTATCATATTCATAAGCATTTCAAGACATCTACAAACACTCTGATACTTCAAGATCTCCTCGAGAAAGATAACTTAAATAGAGGATGAACACTGAGAGTCGTATCTCTGCTATTTTATAACTCGTAACTTAAATTTTTCTTATGCACAATAAAACCTCCTAAAATGAGATGTTTGCTAATAACATAATCAATGACGGCAAGTACACTCTGAGTTGAATCTGGTACACAATCACCAGCACTTAATTAGCACTTACTTAGAAGACTATGTATGAGCTTAAAGCTAACTCAATAAAGTAAACAAACATTTCATACAGTGATGTGAATTTGTTTATCAATCTAACCTTTCTTATCAAACCTGTAAATGATGATGAAATAGAAAACCTAAGTATATTCAGTATCATGATTTAATTTCAAATGCAAGTCTAACATTAAAAAATGGGATTTTTTTAGGAGGTTTCAGTGTGTGGTTTAGCATAAAACAATAATAATCAACTGGGAAATAAAGCACAATTATTACATTCAAAATAAAAAAATTCAAATAAATGCAGTATGAGATAAATTTTCATGTAAATATGGATAATTTTGGTATGGTGTGTACATGCTTCAAGGTAAAGGCATTGATAGCCTTAGGGTAAAAAAAATATGTTTATGGATATATTGGCAGGGAGCATTTTGTGGAAATCTCACAAACTCTTATATCACCCAATATTCTGAAGGCCAGCTCTAACTCAGCTACTTCTTATGCCAACTAGAAGCAAGTTGTTGACAATATGAACTGAATATCCATTTATAAACATTAATATAAGGAAATACAAGTTAATATCAAAACAGGGGAACATCAGTGCGTCACTGCCATCTACATTGTTACCAGAGAGAAAGTGAGCAGACAACAGAGAGGCCTTTTTTATGATATTGAATACATCCACATTACTACAAAAGGGTGAGTCTGAGTAATGACAGCCTAGCAGAAGCATTGAGAATTGGGTCACCACACTAGCAGTACCACACCTACCCCTCACTGGATCACCTACCAGCTGTACCGGTGACAGAAAAATCACATCAGTACTTTTTATCAGTATAAGGTCCTGTTGTTTTATATATCTGAACTAATGGTGTGTCACTACATGGCATCATCAGAATCAAACTCCACAAACCTATATATCTCTGTCAAGATAAGATACAAAACATTCAAGAAGCTGTTCATAAAAAGGAAAGATGCTTGTAGGCCACTTATGAAGGGTGATTCTCATCTTTTCCTCAGTGGGAGAATTCTTAAGTTTATTAGTGCTATTGGAAACAAAAGGTCTAGCCCCAAAAGTTTCAAAACAAAACTTGGCAAACTGTGAAAAGATACAATTCTACAAGTTTTTCTGGATGGCAGTAGAAGAAAAAGGTTAGTGGCTTTATGTACTAAAGAGCAAAAGAAAATGTCAAACATCAGTAATAAAAAGAAATACTGTGTCCCAATGTCTCATAGTTGGACTGCACTATCGTATGAAAATATTCATAATAAAGCAGAATTTGATTCATAAGTACTGACCATAAAATAATTTGACAGCAGCTTATTACAATGTACGTGTGTATATTTGGGCCAAAGCAACAAAATAATGAATTGTGGTTCTGATCTGAACACTGTAATGATATCTACCAATCTATATAAAGTAAAAAATACACATTTATAAGTAAGCACTGCAATATAATTTAAAGAAAAATTGACCCCTCATGGATGGGATATAAGCACCCATACAATACCCGCAAGTGAGCTGATTTCTTTTAAAATCTATATCTTATGAAGTTAGGTTTTGCCTTAAAACAAAATGAGGTGGGATACTTGTAGACAAAATGGCAGCTGATTGATGTGCATGTAACATTATGGGACCCATCCATAAAGGGTTCAGCAAAAGTTGAATCACCTTCCATCTATTTCCACAACAACCTGATCTTACTTACCTTCTTTTTCCTTGCTTTTTGCTAATAAAAACAAAAAATATGAAAATCTAATATAAAGATAATAAACTGTTGTAGCATCAATCATTTACACTTCCTTTGTCACCCTACCACAGAAAGTAATGGTAAAAAATTACATCTTACCATCTCTAAGATTTCATCCTTGTACTTTGGTTTCCTAGGTCTCTCATCATCATCATCAGACTCCTCCTCCTCATCTTCATCATCATCTTCTTCATCCTCTTCATCCGAGTACTCTTCATCAGAATACTCTTCGTCATCTGAATCATCATATTCACCCTCTGGTGGTGGCGTGAAGCGCTTCAGTGGTCGCGGGCCTGGTAATGAGGTTACCATGAATAGGAGTTCAACAATGCAGCTAAACATCAGTCTTGCATTAGCATTTCATAACCATTATATCTATTAATAACTATAGCTGCATGACCTTTTAAAGGCTACGCCTATGTCAAGTTTAATCTAACTGGTTGTGAAATGTGTTGAATTACATGTGCTATATCACCTACAAAACACCAAATCCTTCCAGATTTTACACAAGACAAAATAATAAAAAGAAAAAGTACCTTTGGCATCGTCATCCTCTTGCATTTCCATTTTCCTGAACATGGCAAGCACACTTTTGGTCTTGCGACAATCTAATGGTTCCTCTAGGTTGTCAGTGTACTTGACAAGATTAGGATCACGTCCGTAGAAGTCGGCCACTTCCTCATCATCACAGCCCTGGGGAAATACATATGATGAGTTATCAAATGTTTGGACGTTTCTTTTATTTCCTAGTATGTAATGAAGGAAAGGAAAGGCACAGGCTAGGAAAGTAAACAGGAAAATAGGATATTATAAGAAAAAATGTTACTATGGTTAACAGGGATCAACATCAATGGGGTAATGTTCTGGAATAAAAATAGTCTATGTGGTAATTAGTAGTTCTACTGGAAGGGAAGTCAACTATTAATAGAAACTGAGGATGTGAGAATAAGGTTATGAATAAAGGCAAAGTCAGTCTGGCAAAAACACTTAATAAACAGCAACCTGCCAGAACAGATGTATTTCTCATTCACTTTACTATGCAAGGCAAAATATATTTCTTATGCTTCCTGGCACTACATTTCTCTAAGTGACTTGTCTCACACTACTGACACATTCAGATATAAGAGAAATGTTTGGCCCAGTAGTTTCTGAAAGTAAATAACTGCATATTATGTTTTAGGTGTTACCTTCATATGTATGTAAAAACAAATCAAAAACGTCATAAACGTCTTCTCGTCACTTTAGGCTACACACTGTTAATCACACATAAGGCGAAAGGCAGAGGATAATACACCAAAGGATGAGGAAAAATACATTTAAATTTCAGAACAAAAAGAAAAGCACTTAACAAAACTATGTAAGGGATACAAAACAGAAGTGGGCAGGAGATGAAGAACAGATGATTAATAATCAATAAAACAAAAAGGGTCAAAAGGGTGGGAAGGAAAAACAAAACAAAACAAAACAAAAAAATATAAGAATACTGAACATAAAGAATATAATAAATAACTGCTGCATACACATACAGATGATAGTAATGAAAAAAAGAAGGTATAGGAGAAAAAACGTGAAAAAGCCCAAAACCAGTCCGAAGAAAATATCAGGCAATATCTTGAATAAGAATACATCAGTCACGTCACTATCACGAAAATCTATGAAAACTATATTTACATGGTTAGATACATTTCTAAGCACATCACCTGAAACATTGTTTGAGTTCTGAGGGAACAAAAAATGCTCAGTTTCTAATGCCACCAACAACCCTAATTGCCATGCATTTCTATATCCATTATCTACACAATCTCTCCACAAAGAACAAACTTATTAATGCGCACAAAGAAAACTCTTAGTATTATTTCTGCTAGCATATGAACAACTGTAATGGCAAGAACTGCAAAGTCTTTGTTACTCACTCTGTAAGACAGACTAAAAAAAAGGGATAATTTAAGCATCTTATTTTATGCAGGAGTTTAGGCAATTCTCATTGGTCGTTCTAAAGACTAGCTGGTCCTGACTCCATCTTCCAAAAAGGTTTCAGGTTTCAATAAACGTCTCCAGACTGTTTCTTGTTTGCTGTTAAAATCTCTTGGAGTGGCAAAAAAATTTACCTCCTTAATGAGAAGAGAAAGGCAAGGTTTCCTGACAGTCCTGTAGTCATAAAAATGTCCAGTCGCCACCACCGTAATCAATATTTTCCCTGGATGATAATATATAAACAGTTATATCTTGGGAATAAGCCTACTTTATGGGGAATATCTATACATTTTGGAATTTACATTTTTCCCATAGTTTAAAAGGTAACGGTAATGCAAAAAATATAGGTGCATGTATAAGTAGTTTCCCATGATTCCCATAATATCAAAGGGACTTATGCAGAAAATGGTACAAATAGACATGAATAACTTTGCAACCTAAGATAAATAATATCTTGCAATGAGAAGTTATTCACAATTGTTTATAACATTTTCAACATTTGTCAAAATGGACCCAGATCATCTAAGAAAGAGACATTATATCTAGCACATTTTTGCACTGGCTATTGACAGTGCAGAGACATACCCAAAAATCAGCATGCTAACCTGGCAGGTCACTGATTCAGGATGCCAAAAGGATCTAATGACACATGTTAGTGCAACAGTGAAGGCAGACAATTCATCTCATTATTGATGGAAATGGTTTCAGTTAAAAACATATATTAGGATTTATTGCTTTACATATATGAAAATCTTTAGATGAAAAATATATACTAGAAAGCAATATTTAAACTCTAAACACTGAGAATTTAACATGAAGATATTAGACAGAGTGATCACTTTCTTCTAATTATGGGGTAGGCTGGCTGTGACACTTCTAAACACTGAATATATCCAGAGTTACAGAAACAGGAAACATGTACCAGTGATAGGTACTATATTTCACAAACACAACACAAAACAAGACACTTCTACAAGCTACAATGGGCATGGGGAATCGGGAAATTCTGGGTTCGGATGATAAAAAAACTCGGTGACCACAGCAAATTACCCGAAGCCTGCACACCGGACAATTAATTGCCATGCAACGTTTAGGCATATGGGCCTTTAAGAGCTCTTCATCAACCTGGGCTCCATCACGAGGTGGGGTGATGCGGAATACTTTTTTCTTCTTCCTCTCCTGTTCTTTGACACGTTCCTCATAGGTTGCAAAGAATTTAAAGCGGTCCAAAATATTTG